GAGCTCCTGCACCTCTTTTTCTACGAAATGACCCCTGTTAGTGTCTATCCTCTCATGCTTTCCCATTTGCTACAGTTTGTACCTAGTGATGCTCTGTATGGTTCTTCATTGGAAAACTCTCACAAGAATGTCTGAAAAACAAATTAAGAATGTGCTGGGTCAGATTAATTGTCCATCTAGTCCTGTATCCCATCTCCTGTAGCTAACTGGTTACTCTGGAGGGCCAAAAACATTGCAGAGGCTGAGTCCTCCCCTGGATGTGGAGGTTCCTTTAGTCACCCTGGCTAGTAGCTGCTGATAGATCTGTTCTCCATGGATCTTTCTATTCCCCATCTTCGGGCAGCATATTCCACATTTTAATCACTCATTGAGTAAAGAAGTATTTCTTTCTGTCTGTCCTGAATCTACTACCCATCAACTTTATTAGATGCCCCCAAGTTCTAGCATTCTGGGAGAAGGAGAAAAGTTCTCTTTGTCCACTCTGTCTACCCCCATGCATAATTTTGTGAACCTCTATCACACCCCCTTCTTAGTCATCTCTTTTTTAAACTGAAAAATGCCAGACTCTTCAGCCTTCCCTCCGAGGGAAAGGGCTCCAGCCCCTTAAACATCTTGGTTGCCCTCTTCTGCACTTTCTCAGCTCTGCAGTGTCCTGATTGAGATAAAGAGACCAGAACTGTGCACAGTATTGCAAATTAGGCTACACCGTAGATCTATACAGGGGTACTATAATATTGACTGTTTTATTTTAAATCCCTTTCCTAATAATCCCCGGCACAGAGTTTGCCTTTTTCACTGCTGTGGATCACTGGGTTGACACTCATTGAGCTATCCACTATGACCCCAAAGTCTCTTTCTCTCTCACTCTCAGCAAGTTCAGACACTATTAACGTATGGGATTTTTTTTGTTCCAGTGTGCATTTAACTCAGTTAAACTTAATTGGCCACACTGTTACCCACTAGAAGAAGAAGAAGAAGAGATTGGATTTATACCCCACCCTTCACTACCCAAAGGTGTCTCAGAGCAGCTTACAAACTCCTTTCCCTTCCCCTCCCCACAACAGACACCCTGTGAGGTAGGTGGGGCTGAGAGAACTCTTGACAGAAACTGCTCTTTTTCAAGAACAGCTCTTATCAGAGCTACGGCTTGCCCAAGGTCATCCAGCCAGGTGCAAGTGGAGGAGTGGGGAATCAAACCCGGTTCTCCCAGATTAGAGTCCGCGCACTTAACCACTACACCAAACTGGCTCTCACTATATTACTTCCTTCCACTGAGAGAACTGTCCGTACATTCCTACTTTCTGCTTCCTGTCATTCAATCAATTTTTAATCCATAAAATACCTGTTCTCTTATGCTGTGTCTGCTAAGCTTACTCAGGAGAATTTGGTGAGATACCTTGTCAAAGTCCGTTTGAAAGAGCTAAAGAGCCCTAAGCGCTTTAACCTTTCCTCATAGGGAAAGTGTTCCCTATGTGGTAACATGTGGTCATTTTCTCGAAGAACACCAAAAGTTTGGTAAGGCAGGACTTGCCTTTGCAGAAACGGTGTTGATTTTCCCTCAGCAGACTTTGTGCCTAATAATTCTTTGATTACAGTTTCAACTAATTTGCCTAGGACAGACATTAGGCTAACTGGCCTGTAACTTCCTGATTGGCCTCTGGACCCCTTTTTTAAAACCTTCATAACATTTGGTACTCTCCTGTTTTTCGATATAGTGGTTGATTTTAGTGATAAGTTACACATAGTGTTTAGTAGGTCAACAATCTCATGTTCGAGTTACCCAAGAACCTTTGGATCTATACCTTCAGGACCTGGAAAGTTATTAGTTTTTAATTTCCCCGATAGGTCTAAAATGCAATCTCTCACCACATACCCCACACTTTCCTCAGTGAACACAGATGCAAAGAGTTAACTGAGTTTCTCTGCCGTCTCTGGATCTTCCTTTAGCAATCCTTTTATTCCTTCATAACCCCAAAGCCCAACTGCTTCTCTGGATAGTGTTCTGCTTGACACATTTGAAGAAATGCCTAGTGTTTGTTTTAATGCTTTTAGCAATCCACTCCTGAAATCGTCTTTTCATTTGCCTAATTACTAACTTGAACTTCTTTTGCCAGACCATAGGTTCGAT